CGCGCCCTGAAGGAGACCCTGCGTCCGGCCAGCAGCGCTGGACCCCGCGTCCCCGTGCAGGCGCCCCCGGAGGCGGCCGAGGAGGTACCGGGGCCCCGTACCCTAGCCTCCCGGCGTAGCTTTCTGTGTGGCGGGGAGCTCCGTGAGGCACAGAATTTGGGGGAAGGGGTGGAGGGCCCGGCTCCCTCCCGGTCTCGGAGGGACTGGGGCGAGGGGCTGGAGACACCTCTGTCCCCCACACCAGCCTTTCCGACCCCACTGCCTCCTCTGCAGGTGCCCGAGCCCAGCTGCTGGGGGTCCCACCTGAATCGGGCTGTCACCCAGAGTCTCCCCGCTGCTGCCGGGCCGAGCCCTCGCGGGTCTGTGCCGGACTATGGGAAGCGGCTCAAGGCGAACCTGAAGGACGCTCTGCAGGTGAGGACAAGAGTCACGGAGACGTCCACCCGGGGTCCAGAACTGCCCTCGGCCCAGGGGCAGGACCAGCAGACACCCCCCCACAGGTGCCCCTGCTCCCACCAGCGCACACACACGCCTCCCGCACTAACCAGGCCTCGGCTTCTGAAAGGAGGTCACAGTCAGTTTCTGCTCTCAGCTTCCTTTCCATCCCGGCCACACTGAGGGGTTAGGCGGGGACTCTGCAGGTTGCAGGATCTTTGGCCGCCCAGGGCCTGAACTCCTGCTTGCTTGTCTGTCCTCCTCTTTCCAGGCTGGGCCAGCCCTGCGCCGAATACCCCGGCCTCCGCAAAGACCCCCACCCACGGTGCCTTCCCCAGGGCTGCCAGCTGCAGGGGCTTCCCCCAAGTCTCCTGAAGAAGTCAGTGAGGTGCTGCCCCAGCTCCCCAGGCCCCAGCTAAGGCCAGGCCGGCTCCAGCAGCTGCAGGAGTCCCTGAGCCTGCGGCTGGGCTCCCTCGACCCTGGCTGGCTACAGAGGTGTCACAACGAGACCCAAGGTTTTCTGGGGACTTCTGAGGCCTGCCAGCCTGTCCCGGGTACAGAGGAGCCACCGCCCCTGACTTCAGGTGTTCCCTCTGATCCTGGCCCCAGCACAGGCCCTGAGGCACCTTTTCTGGGCTCAGAGGCTCCAGCTATGAAGGTACCTGGGGTCAGTGCAGGGAACCCCCTACTGGGCAGCAGTCAAGGCAAGAAGCGGAGAAAGAGTGGGGAGCTAAAGGGGACCGCTGCTGCACAGGCCCATCAGCACAGCAGCCAAGAAGGCTCCCCGCCAGAGGGAGCTAGGGCTGTACTGCACGCAGAAGACTGTCCAGGGGAGCCCATGCAAGCGCAGCTCCTCACCGGCCCCTCAGCCCCCAGGTAATGCAATTCAGCCTCCCAGCAGGGTCCCCTTGAGTTGGGCCAAGGTGGGGATGCTATGGGCAAGGCACAGCTGTATGTCCCTTCTAGGCCAGCTGTCCGGGACAGGGGTAATTACGTTCGGCTCAACCTGAAGCAGAAACGCTATGTTCGGGGCCCAGCCCTGCGTGGCAGACTCCTCCGAAAGCAGGTGAGGTTGTGGCAGGCACTCCCCTCACCCCTCCTGCCTCTCGCCTTGTGACCCTCCTTTGTGCCCCACCCCAGGCATGGAAGCAGAAATGGAAGAAGAAGGCAGAACGCTTGGGGGGTGGTCAGCCCAACGCCCCAGTCAAGGATTCTTGCTTCCGGTGTGGGCAGCTCGGCCACTGGGCATCCCAGTGCCCCAGACCAGGTGAGGCTTCTGTGCTGTTGAGTTGGACCAACACTGCTTGGAGAGGGTGTTGTGCTCTTTGGGGTCTGACTGAAGCAAAAAGCCCTCCTAACTCCGTACCCCAGGCCCAAAACCTACCCGGGTCCCCAAGAAGGAGGGTGGCGAAGAGGAAGATGACGTGCAGATGCTGCCCACGTTAGAGGCAGTAGCCCAGAGGACACACCCTGCCTGCGGCCAGCTCCGTGGTGAGTGGAAGCCGCCTTCTTGCTAGAATGACGCCAGACCAGCCTAGAGCTCCCATAACACCCTCTCCTGTCCCCCCCCACAGGTGAGGAAGATACAGATCCTGCTGGGTCTGAGTTGCTAGTGCCCATGGAGGCACCTGTGCCTGGGGGACCCTGCCCGTCCCCAGCTGTGCCGCCACTCTACCTACCGGGTCCCTTGGGGCAGGTGGCAGGTGAGCAGATGCCTACCAGCCTAGGACCTTTACCGAAAGGTGGGGGCGACTCGGCCATGCTGACCCAACATCTGTATACACAGCGACGCCAGTTGAGGTGTTGCAGGCCCTGGAGCAGCTGGGGCACCGAGCCTTCCGCCCTGGGCAGGAGCACGCAGTCATGCGAATCCTGTCTGGTGAGCATGGCTGCCGGGGGAGGGAGGCGGGGCTGAGGCCAGGCTGCAGAGCCTCACTGCTGACCCGGCTCCCGTCCAGGCATGTCCACACTGCTGGTGCTGCCCACCGGTGCCGGCAAGTCCCTGTGCTACCAACTCCCTGCGCTGCTCTACGCCCAGCGAAGCCCCTGTCTCACGCTGGTCATCTCTCCTCTCCTGTCCCTCATGGACGACCAGGTGTGTGCACAGGCCCAGCAGCACAGCAGCCAAGGACACACAGGACCCTCAGGTGTGGGTGGAAGGCACGCACCGGCACCCAGGCTTTGCTGTCCCTTTGGGCTGCTGCTTCTTACCCACCGGCGTCCTGGAGCTGTGGGGGTCCCGACAGTTCTCGGCCCACCAGCTCTGTCCACAGCCCTCAGCCTGGAAGTGGCCTGAGGGCAGCAGGGACATGGCTGGCCAGAACCTCCCCTAAAAGGAGACGTCCTCAGTGAGGCCTGTCTGTTCCCAGTGCCTGGGCCCAGGCCCAGCGGCAGCCCCGAACTCTTAGTTCCAGAGTCTGGGTGTTTTCTCCTCATAAGACGTGGGTGGATGCAGCAGTCACTATCGAGCGGAGCGACTGGGAGAGGCACTTGGGGGAGGCCGGGCTGGATGGCCTTCAACAGACTGGCTCCTGTGTCTGCAGGTGTCCGGCCTGCCCCGAGGCCTGAAGGCGGCTTGTGTACACTCGGGCATGACGAGGAAGCAGCGAGACGCCGCCCTGCAGAGGGTGAGGGGCCTCCCAGAGCAAGACCCTTGGGGGCGACAGGCAGGGCCCCGGGCAGTGGTCCTGACCTTGCTGTTCACAGGCTCGGGCAGGCCAGGTACACGTGCTGATGCTGTCACCCGAGGCATTGGTTGGAGCTGGGACCGGGAGCCCTGCCTGCCTCACTCAGCTGCCCCCAGTGGCCTTTGTCTGTATTGATGAAGCCCACTGCCTCTCTCAGTGGTCCCACAACTTCAGACCCTGCTATCTACGTGTCTGCAAGGTGAGCCTTGTCCTGAATACGGGTGAGTAGGTCGGGGGGGAGTGGGCATCCTTACTGCCCCGCTCTGCACAGGTGCTGCGGGAAAGCCTGGGCGTGCGCTGCTTCCTGGGTCTCACAGCCACAGCCACACGCAGCACCACTCTCGACGTGGCCGAGCACCTGGGCATAGCCAAGGAGGGTGTCCTCAGGGGACCGGTCACCATCCCTGCCAACCTGCACCTTTCTGTGTCCATGGACAGGGACCCAGACCAGGTAGGTATGCACACACCCGGTGGAGGCTTTGTTTCCCGACTGTCCACGCTGACCACTGTCCCTTGCCAGGCTCTGGTGACACTGCTGCGGGGGGACCGCTTCCGCACCCTGGACTCCGTCATCGTCTACTGCAACCGGCGTGAGGACACTGAGCGTGTCTCCGCTCTGCTGCGCACCTGTTTGCCCGAGGCCAGGGCTCCCGGGCCTGGAGGTGAGGCTGGGCAGGGCTGTGCCCCACAGACTTTCCCATGCAGACAGCCCACCAACCATCTGTGTCTTTCCTGCAGGCCGGGCCCCGGAGGCTATGGCTGAAGCCTACCACGCTGGCATGTGCAGCCGGGAGCGGCGGCGGGTGCAGCGGGCCTTCATGGAGGGCCGGTTGCGGGTGGTCGTGGCCACAGTGGCCTTTGGGATGGGATTGGACCGGCCAGATGTGCGGGCTGTGCTGCACCTGGGGCTGCCCCCGAGTTTTGAGAGCTACATTCAGGCCGTGGGCCGGGCTGGGCGTGATGGGCAGCCCGCACAGTGCCACCTCTTCCTGCAGCCCCAGGTTGGTGCCCACCAGCTCGAACTCCCTCCCACCCCCCAGTGCCACGGCCACACGCTCACAGCTGTCCTGCTGCAGGGCGAGGACCTTCGGGAGCTGCGCAGACACGTGCATGCCAACGCCATTGACTTCCTTGCTGTGAAGAAGCTGGTGCAGCGTGCATTCCCGCCCTGCACCTGTGCCCAGCGGCGGTCTGAGCAGGAGGGAGGCGAGAGACAGGAAGGAGGCGAGCGACAGGAGGGATGCTCCTCCAAGCAACCCAGCCATGAGCCAACAGCCCGGTGCCCGGGCCACAAGCGGGCACTCCCAGTGCAGCCGACAGTGCAGGCTCTGGACATGCCTGAGGAGGGTGAGGAACCGGGGCAGGGGTTGGGGGGCACCTCACAGCCCCATGTGCCCTGAGCCCCGCTCTTCCCCCAGTCATTGAGACTCTTCTGTGCTACTTGGAGCTGCACCCACAGCACTGGCTGGAGCTGCTGGCACCCACCTACACTCGCTGCTGCGTGCGATGCCCTGGGGGCCCCACCCAGCTCCAGGCCCTGGCCAGCAGGTGAACACACGTCCTATCCCAGAACGGTGACAGGGACAGAGGACTGGGGCTACCAATCACTCACACCTTCCCCTGGCATAGGTGTGTCCCCTTGGCTGCGTGCTTGGCCCAGCAGCTGCCTGGGAACACAGGTGGGGGAAGCAGCACTGTGGAGTTTGACGTGGTCGAGCTGGTGGACTCCATGGGCTGGGAGCTGGCCCCTGTGCGGAAGGCCCTCCACCAACTGCAGTGGGACCCAGAGCCCAGGAAAGGTGCGCCCCCACCCTTGGCCCTGCCTGCCACCTGCCTGCCCACCTGCCCATCTGACACGCTCTTTGGCAGGTGTGCCTCGGGGCACAGGGGTGCTGGTGGAGTTCAGCGAGCTGGCCTTCTACCTGCACAGCCCTGGAGACCTGACCGCCCAGGAAAAGGACCAGATCTGTGGCTTCCTTCATGACCGAGTGCAGGCCAGAGAGCGGGAGGCCCTGGCCTGCCTGCGCCTTATGTTCCAGGCCTTTCACAGGTGCAGGGGTGGGTGGGCAGGGCATGGTTCCCCAACCCCCACCCCAGGGGGTGGCTCTGACGAGCTCATCCCACCCCAGCGTAGCCTTCCCCAGCTGCGGGCCATGCTTGGAGAAGCCGGACGATGACCGCAGCACCAGGCTCAAGGCCCTGCTCAGCCACTACTTTGAGGAAGAGGGGCCAGGGGGTGAGGAGGAAGCACAGGGCCCAGAGCCGGGACAGGCCAAGGTGAGTGCTAGCCACTCCTGGGCCCAGGGCAAGGTCAGGCAGCCAAACGTCTGTGTGCACACCTCCTGCCCGGCCTCCAGCCGTGGAGCTTGGTGGTCTGGAAGCTCAGGTTGTGGTGACACTCTCCCACCCTCAGCTCCAGGACTGGGAGGACCAGATCCGCAGGGACGTCCGCCACTTCCTGTCCTCGTGGCCAGAGCAGCAGTTCTCAGGCAGGGCTGTGGCCCGCATCTTTCATGGCATCGGTGAGGGCCTGGGCGGCTCAGCCCCACCAGGTGGGCAGGGGGCTGGACCCAGTTGACAGTCCTCAGGGCCATGTACCCCATTCCACCGCAGGAAGCCCCTGCTTTCCAGCCCAGGTGTATGGACGGGACCGGCGCTTCTGGAGGAAGTACCTGCACCTGAACTTCCACGCCCTGGTCAAGCTGGCCACCGAGGAGATCCTGCTGTGGGGCCGCTGACACCTGGCCGCGGGCAGGCCCTGTCCCCCATGTCAGACACAGGTGTGAACAGGCCCATGGAGAGTGGCAGGTGCAAGGCCCAAGACGAGGGGCTATCAGTGGCTGGGACAGTGACTGACCTCCTTGGACAAAGCCTACTGCCCGGAATGTGGGCACAAGGAGGCCCCAAAGTACAAAATAAAAGATGGTGGCGTTGTTGCAGGGCCCCTCCTTTTCGGTGGGGCGGTGCACAGTCTGGGCAGCCTGAGCACCACACATCCCAGACAGACAGGCCGGCCGGTCACACTTGGCTTTACTGGCTAGTCTTACCACCCAGCTCAGGCCAGGGCTCTGGGTGCCAGGCTCAGGTACAGAATGGGTATGGCTGAGAGAGCAAGGAAGAGCGAGAAACAGAGGTGCAGGCCCAGGCTGTCGGCCAGGGCTCCCGCCAGTGTGCCCAGCAGCAGCTTGCCCAGCAGCTCCAGTGTGGCCAGGAGGCTGTAGTGTGTGGCCTGGGGGCGGGGGGGGGGGGGGGGGTTGGCTTATGGCTGAGAGAGCAAGGAAGAGCGAGAAACAGAGGTGCAGGCCCAGGCTGTCGGCCAGGGCTCCCGCCAGTGTGCCCAGCAGCAGCTTGCCCAGCAGCTCCAGTGTGGCCAGGAGGCTGTAGTGTGTGGCCTGGGGGCGGGGGGGGGGGGGTTAGGACTTGCTTGGACCCCAGCCCTGCATCCCCCTGGTGTCCTGACCATGACCCCTCACCTGCAAGGCACTGGGTGCCAGCTGGCTGCAGCACATCATCAGAGTGAAGGTGGCGGTTGTGACCAGGCCCCCCAAGAAGTGCTGCAGACACAGGCTCAGCAAGACTGCCCCTGGGAGGACCAAAGTCAGCCGGGCCCAGGATGCACGGTGTTCTTCCCCCGTGCCCAGTGCCCGCCCCTCACCTCTCAGGACTGTGCCAGGGTCCAGCCTGGCCCACGGAGTGTCCAAGTAGAAGAGCAGAGTGGTCTGGCAGGCAAGGCCTCCAAGACGGAACTGAAGTACTGACCTCAGCAGGGGAAGCAGCTTCCTGGGGTGGGGAGACTGGGCAGGTCAGGGGTTTTGGGAGATTGGGGGTGAGCAGGTGAGTGGGGCAGGCTGAGAAGGCTCACCGGTGTCCGGACAACAGGGCCCCACCCAGGGACGAGCCAGCAATGGAGCAGGCCACGGCACCCACACTGTTCCACAGCCCCAGCTCCGGGGCGGAGAGGCCTCGGTCCAGCAAGAGGAGTGGGAACAGGCTGCTGGCACCCTGCTCGCCTGTGGGGAGAACATGAGTAGGAGTACAACCGCCCCTCTTCCACCTGGGACCTTGGTCATGCTCCCCAGCCGGCTGCTACCCTGCTCTGGTGCTGATGGTAGAAAGGGCATCGGCAGGACCCAGGGACTGTGGCTGGAGCTCAGTGGCACAACATAAAGCCCCCTGTTGGGCGTAGCCCAGAAAGAGGACGGCCTGCCAGTGGTTCCTGGTTCCTGGGGACCCCCTGGAGGTCCCCACCCCTGCCATCGCCTGACTCAAGCCCTCACTCACCCAGCTTGTAAGTGAGCACAAAGCCGGCGGTCCACAGGGTCCCGGACACAGCGAGCAAGTCCTGCAGAAGGTGCAGGGTGTGTGGGGGGAGTTCTGAGGGCTGAGGCGAGGGCAATTGTTGCAGGGCGGGTGTAGCCCAAGCCAGGGCAGCAGCCAGCCAGTAGGTGGCAGCCAGGAGCAGAAACAGCTGGGGCCAGGAGAGGGTGGGCACCAGGGCCAGCAGCCCACCACCCGCCAGCACCGACCCCAGCTTGTACGCAACCACCTGCACGGTATTGCCAGGCCCCAGCTCCGCCGGTTCCAGGAGTTGCATGGCTAGTGTGTCGAGGGCAACGTCCTGCACGGCTGCACCCAGGTTCAGCAACAGCAGCAGCCCCGCCACAGTAACCGGAAGCTCCGCCTGGCCACCTTCAGCCGGAGGCAGAGCTGCCAGCAGCCCGCACACCAGGCCCAGAGCAGCCGTGCTGAGCGTCAGCCAGGCCCTGGGGGAGCCCCGCGTGCCCACCAGCGGGGCCCACACCAGCTTGAACAGCCAGGGCGCATACAGCACCTTGGTCAGTCCCACGCGAGTCAGGGAGAGGCCGCCCGCTCGCAGCAGCACGGGCAGCAGGCCAGATTGCAACCCGTAGGGCAGGCCCTGCACCAGGTAGAGGCCGGCCAGCGGCAGCAGCTTCCCACGCATGGCCGGGGCTGGGGCCGAGTTCAAGGCTGGGCCTGGAGCGGGACGGGCAAAACGGTTCCGTGTCTGGTCCGGTCAAGGGTCACAGGCGGCATGGCCTTTGGACTGGGCCGGGCGGGGTCAGGGCTAGACTGGCGTCCGACCCGCAGAACCGCAGGCCGTGCTCCGCTCCCGGGACCCCGTGGGCCATAGAGCGCCAGCGGGCCAGAGCGGCCGAGTGCGCCGGCGCCCCCGGTGGCCCACCTGGGTACTGCGTCCGGAGCAGAAAGCGGCAATGCGACCCATTCTGGTCCTTCTCGGGGTTGTCAGGCCCGCCCCCAGACCTCCGGGGCCTAGACCCAAACGCTGCACAAGTGTTTCCCGGCATCTCCCCAGTGGCCGCAGTCTCTCCAGCACCCCCTCTGCTCCCCATGGAGGAACTGGTTCAAGTTACACTGTCCAGCCCAAGGCCCTGGCTGTGCTTGCGTTTCAGCAGCTCCCATGCCCAGTCCACTCCAGCTGGCCCTGCGGAGACACGTCCATCCAAGCGGAAGCCAAATGTGGGGTCTTTTGTGGCCTCTCCTGCCCAGAGCTGCACACACACACACCCGTGGGCAAGAACTGCCTCGGGTTTCTGAGCCCGTGGGTCCCTGAAGCTGACCCTAGACTAGGATCTAGGCCCGGCCTAGATCCACCTGCGGGCTCGAATCAATGCGCTCCCTCAACTGCTGGGGTCACCGTGAGTGGGTTTCCTGTTATGTCTTGCATATTTTGGGGTCCCAAGTTTCCTCGTCTTTAAAATAGGGACTGCCGCCCTGGCCATGTGGCTCAGTTGGTTGAGCGTTGTCCCATGCGCCAGAGGTGGCCAGATTCCCGGTCAGGGCAATGCCTGTTGCAGGCTCTATCGCCAGTAGAGGGCGGGCAGGAGGCTGCCAATCGATGGTCCTCATGGATGTTTCCCTCTCTCTAAAATCAATAAAAAATCTATGGGTGTGGAGAGAGCAGAGCGCCTGAAGAATGGCTTCTCTTGGGCTTACTCCTCAGGGTGGCAGAATACTATGGCCTTCCTGTGACATTATGCCCTATACATAAAAAATAAAAAAATAAAAAATATTTTAAAATGAATAAATAAAATAGGGACTACCATGCCTCCCTCAGCGACAACAGCAGGCCTCATCTGCATGTTCCAGTGGCAAGGACACGGGGCTGCCCACCTCCTGTCCCGGGTCCTCCAGCCCAGCCATCCCCGGGCGTCGCCTCAGCATCGCACCTGCTCCCTTCACCCCGGGGGCTCTGGCTCGGGAGGGCCTCCCCTCACTGCCTCCCAGCCCTCGGGCCGCATGTACACGCCGATGCCACACACATTCACCACATGCTTCAAACACAACCCCGGCGGAGAGACCCATTTGTTCCTCGGCTCCCCCAGCAGTCCGCGGGGCAGTCAGGACACCAAGCCTGTCGCTGAGCCCCCACGGGCAGAGCCAGAGCCGGGGGCGG